ATATATATATATATATATATATATATATATATATTATATATACACACACATATACAACCACAGCTTTAGACCAATTTTGATTGTAAAGATATACAGACTATAAGTAGATAATGGTTGCCAATATTTAGTATTGAAGTTGTCCTTCCCATGATGTACTTTTTGGTAATACTGATTTATGAAGGAAGAAAAGAAAAGAAAAGATAAACAACTAGTAAATATCGTTGTCGTTCTGCGAGACAAATAAACATTGTTTACGCTGCTTCAGCAAATCCGACTCTTAGTTTACCATAATCAAAGATGGTGTGATAGCGCCCCATGAAGACATCTCCAAGGATCCTACATTTATGCATGTGCCATTAACTGAGAATCAAATCAAAAAGAAAATGTCATAGTGTATGTCTCGAGCAAATTAAAGTTTAATGTACCATAGAGGGCCACGAGGAGGAGGAACATCCAATGGAATAAAGCCACTGATGCATTGGGCTTGAGCGCCATCGCCCACCTTCAGTATATACTGAAAACCAAATAGAAAATTGGACGAAGGAGACAAAATATAAGGAACATGGCAACCATTCATTCATAGAAATTGTACTATTACCAATGGGAGGGACTGACAAAATATAAGTAACAATTGAACTCTTTTCTTCGTTACAAAATCCTTTTACACAAAATTAAATATAGTTAATGATTAGACCCTGCAATAGTAACTAATTAGGATCGAAACTGTACCTCCTTTGGGGCAAGGTCAAAAACTTTTCCACCAATAGTGAAGGAAATAATAGGCATTGAAGGGATCTTTCCACAGTCAACGAGTGATTGACCCAAAGGGTTAGGCAATTTATCACAAAGCTGCAATATCATCATCATGAGGCTAAAATCAAATCAACATTAAAAGCAGGATTTGAGTACTCAAATAACAAAATTAAAACTAAGTCACCTCATTGGCATAGTCTATTATCCGATTTTCCGTTTGATTCTGCCTCAGCTGGTTCTGCATCCAGATAACAGCCATCTCACATGCTGAACAAGTAGCACCCCGAACGCCATCGAATGATTTTCTTTCATTCTTATCTACCACACTCTCAATACCCATGCTAAAGGGAAAATTGAAACTCTTTAATAAAATGGAAACCAAAGAAGATTAAATATATTAAGTCTCTAAGCTACAGACAAGAGGTATAATATCTTAAGGGCTTACTTAACACCACGAGTCCCATCAAAGGTGCACAATCCAATTTGTGAGCAAATCTTTTTTGGCTTTGCCTATAGTATCAAGTGTAAACCATAAGAACTCATTATGAAAGATGACCAAATCCCCTTCACCATGGGCAATATGCCAAGGATCAATTCAAAATGCTACTTACTTCAGCCAAGAGCAATTCCAAGATTGTCTGTCCATATTGTTCCACAACAGATTTGCATTCTTTGCTTACAACCCCAGATGCTCCAATTGCTTGATTTATCATAGTAATTACGGTCTACAAAAACAAACCGTGTATTTGATCATAGAAACAATCTGATCTAAAGCATTTTTTTAGGCCTTTTCTCGCTTGTAATACAAAAAATTCAATCAGAAAAACGGGTCTGGGTCAACAATTTTTAGACCCCTTTGCCATTAGTTAAAACTTAAAAGCATTCTTTACAGATCATTAAACTCTAGCTGGAAAAGAAAATCTAAATAGAAGCCTTCATGTACAGGCATTTATTCATACCGTTGGACCTGCCAACAAAGAAGTTCCAGAGTCTGCAATTGCTGAGCAGTCATTAGCACAGTATCCTGGATGACAACATGCTGAAGTCAGTACCAATGAAATAAAATCCTGAACCATAAAATATCATGCCATAAAAGAAACAACTACGTATTTATGCTAATCTATTTTGTACACGTACCTGTGGGTTTACCAGCAATAAGCACATCTCCCATGTCAAACTGTTCAATAAAAAAAATGTTAACAAATATGACTATCAAAAACAAAACAACCATATGTACTATAAGCAGTGTTGCATGGATACAGGTATAAGTGTCAGTATTGCTACCGATTCGAGTGTGAAATTACCGCCAAATTTCTAAAATTTAGTGCAAGTATGAGGAGATATATCATATAGAATTATAAAATATAACAAATTATTAACGATATAATACAAATTAATTAAAGTTCATAATAAGGGGAAAAAATTAAAAAGACATCACAAGATTTGAAGGAAGTCAAATATCAATTTGTTTAATTTAGTAACAAACAAATAAAACTACTTATGCATACCCGATTAATACTTGTAGTTAATACCAGGTACGTCAACTATTTCAGGATACTATACATCAGAGTACAAATATACTAAACAAATATGTTGATAATAACCTGCCAATATCCTTTTCGTGTCACAGGTACATAAGTATGTTCGCCCTTGTAGTGAGCAGGATCAACACCACCGAAAACAATCTCACCCCCATTCTCTTCTTCTGGATTACGATTGAGCCAAAATGAAAATACTGGATCTCGTACAAGACCTTGTTCAATCATATTGTACCTGTGAAAGGAAAGTTACTCATAATGACATACCTAAATAAAATAATAACAGAAATGATAGCTGAAAGTTTTAAAATTCACAAATACCACACTGGAACAGCATTTCCAACTGATATTTCTTGAAATCCAAGTCCTAGTAAACCATCGAACTTAGCCGTCACAAATGTAGTTCCAGGTTCTCTAGTTGCTTCTATAAATTCCTAATGAAAATCAAAACATACTATATATTAATTGATAATCAGCATACTATGGAAAAAACCAACTCTACTGACATCACACTCTGTTGGTGTGAAGGAAAAGAGAAAAGGAAAATAGGGTTTGCAATCAATGTTACCTGGTTCTTCACAACTATGTCACCAACTTTGACATCATCATAGCTAAAAAAACCAGAAATTGCTCCACTACCATATTGAATTGCAGCAGAAGTACCTAAAAACCAAGAAGAGAAGCCCTCATTTAAAAAACAGGACAACATCCCGGCATCACTTCTACAGGTGCACAATGTCACGTGACCAAAGTAAAAGATAAATAGAATAGTTTGACTTCCCAAGTTATAAATTATGTATACCAAATTACAAATATTTAAAAAAAAAACGAAGAACTTCTAACACTGCTCGTTCCAATAATTGAGAAAAGTATTGTAATGATTTTGTAATTCCATGTGGGTGAAAAGGTTGCATCGTAAAAATTCATTTGGAAAAGAGCACATGTTTATATTGATACACTTTAGAAGTAGTCCGACAAGACACCAAACTATAAAAAAAAAAAAACAAAAAGATTTATGAAATTCCATAAATCTTGAGAATTAATGATGCAGAAACTTCACATGTTATGATCATAGAATACATCACTCGCCTCGCCACAGCACATTATCGGATCAACAAACTATAAAAGCTCCATAAAGCTGAACAAACAAAGGTAAAAGGCTGAAAATCAGAAGACAAACCATTTTCCCTGTAGGTGCTGGATTGGCTAGACCTGTACCTTACATGCGTTAAACATGCAAGCTGCAGCAACATGAAAAACACCATGAACAAGTTACCAAAATGAGGATACAAATCCAACAAGCATTCACAAGACGGTTACGAAAAGTAAGCTCACCGAGAAGATACATCTGGATGATGGCACCCACGTGTTAGAGCTTCCGGTGTCAAAAATCACAGTGAACGTCTGAGGAGGGGTACCAATGGCTATTTCACCATAGTATTGAGCATCCAAGTAATTCTTCAGCGCAACAACATCGGTATCCTCAGCACCTCCGAGGATGTTCTGGAGATGATACTTTCTAATTGAAGACCCTGAATCCTTAAACTCCATACCCTCATCATTGATGTCCAATTTGATCTTTTTCAGTCCAATCCTGGGCAACCCATCGCTGGGTGCACAGAACACCAGAGAAAACAACAGAGTCCACAAACAGAAACAGAACGCAACCACGTTGAACATGTTTCCCATGTTAATTGACCTGTTCATGAAGAATTCAACGGAAAAGGTTACTATCATGGAAAATACTATGACAGCTGACAACGTTAAATGCTTTAGTGCGCATGTTTCATAACAATAAATAAACTGCATTCATTGATGCATGCATTTATTTGAATAGTAGTTAATGGTTATGACATTATAACTTATAAATTGAAATAAAACTTGTTTAATGATTGAAATGCTAATGAGCAACAATAACAATAACATGGATGAGAAGAATTAGAACACAAATTCATCATGCATGTGAGAGAAGATAAAATAGAAAGAACAAGGAGAATACGAACGAGAGCAAGAATTAGAAGTGAAATGAGAAGAGGAAGGGAAAGGGGGGAATTTAAAGCACGAAAAGGCGAAGAATAGAAATAGAAAGTAACTACCTGGTAATGGTTGGCGCTTTGGTGGGCCCAACTCAGGTGTTAACCTATTCTGGTACGCGGTCGGATCCTCTGCGCCAAGCTTTTCCTGCTCCTGTTATTCATCGACATCACCACCGTTGTTAGTGATTATATAACAATCTCACGGTTCTCATTTTTGATGCAGAGAAAAGCTTCCCGGAGAGGATTTGCTCCTTGTGGGTCCCCACACCTTTAACTGAACATCATCCTAATTCCTAAGGAGGAGGAATGGGAAGGGTGGGGTTTCTCGTGACACATTCATATGTAATGTACTAATGTTAATGTAACTGACTTCCTTTCTTGCCTCAAAAGTAAATTATGCTTTCCTTATCATACCATTTTAATATTCCCCTTCATTCGTTCCAATTTAGTCATTTAGTATGTAAGACTTCATTTTAAATCTAATATTACAATATTATAAAATGATTTATTCTAGATTCTAATAAATTATTCAAAAAAAATTAATCATTAATTTGAATTGATAACTATTCTTTTATTTTACTCTCTAAATTAATGCAGGTTTCATGTTTCCTTTTTTTTTGTTTTACAACGCAGGTTTTACGTTTCAAGCTTTCAGTTTCTGGCGAAAAATTTAATGTTATTTAATTATCTTTAACGATTCAGTATGAGTTTTTAATTATCTTCAACGAATAAACAGCGAAAAAGATTTTTATAGTTACTTTTATATATGATTTTGAAGTAAAGTTTAAGAACTTTCTTAAAAAATAAAGTATTATATAGACAAACAAAAATTAATAAAAATATTCAATTTGTTTTCTTTATAGTGTGAAACGATAAATTAAAGTGTCTTTTCATTAGTGACTGCTACTTGCAAGCATCAACACAATCGAGTGTCAGAGGAGGAAAGGCATTATCAAATTGTAAAAAACTAATAAATGTGTTAAATCTATTCGCTCACCTTTTAATATATGAAGAAATAATAGGAAAATAGTGGGAAGTAGTAAGCATATGAGGACTTGGGAAAGAATTGAAGGGACCTTAGAAAGAAAAAGAAAAGCCATAAAGGCCAAAGAATTGAAGCTGTAGTAGAAGGTAGCGTGGCGTAACAAGTATGGAAGATATCGCCAAGAAGCAAAGATAAAGTGTCAACTTGAAAATATTGAAAGGGAGTGAGGAGTGCATGGGAATATTAAGTCATTAGAGATAAGTTATATATGAAACAATTTCTATGGATATTTGTGATTATTCTACACATAAATGATTATTACATGTACAACAACCACAAATAATCCCATGCGTCTGGGCATCAAAATACTCCTGATGTGTCTTCAGCTACAAGAAAATTAATTTACAATGAGATGTCATCATTTATCTGAATTAAATTTGTAATAGCTAATATTGACAATAAATAATACAGTACATATTTACATGATATTTTGTGCAAGACAATAATACGAAAATTTAATCATTTATCTGGAACTAGTCTTTTTTGATGTGACACGGATCGAGATTAATATTCTCACTCAATGTATAAGAGCCACGTTCTTTTATTTTCTGGATTATATGCATAAAAATTGTACAATAACCACATTCATGGGCCATAATTTGATTATCGTTATTATTTTATATATACAAAATTGTTTGTTTTTATCTAATGAGTTATTCGATTGAATCATAAAAATAAGATATTATGTAATTCAAAAAACAATGAATTTCTTTAATCTGGATGATTAGGTTAAAGGGAGGTTGTCCACTAACTTCAAGCATCAATATACAGTTAAGCATATGTTAACTTTAATTTGTTTTCTTTATAAGTGAAACGATAATGAGTATATCTTTTTCCTTGTGACTACTACTTGCAAGCATATATCAACACAATCAATTGTAAGAGGGGAGGCATTATGAAATAATTAAAAAAGAAAAATGAATCTATAAACGTGTTAAATTCGCCAACCTTTTAATATATAAAGAAATAATAGAAAAATAGTGATAAGTAGTAAGCATATATGGGAATGGAAGGGACCTTACTCCTTAGAAAAAGTAGGAAAAACTAAAAGGCGAAAAGCCTGGAGTAGAAGGTAGCGTGGCCAAACAAGTATATATGGAAGATATTGCCAAGAAGCAAAGACAAAGTTGCAACTTAAAAATAATAGAAAGGGAGTGAGGAGTGCCATGGGAATGAATTAGTGAGGTTGCAATAAGAGATAATTATGAAACAATCACTATTTCTGGTTATTCTACATATTAATGATTATTACACAACAACAACAACAATGAATTCCAACGCATATTGACATCAAAATGCTCCTCTTGTGATGAGTCTTCAACTTATTGTCATCCAAATTAAGCTTCAACTAAATTCATTTACAATGAGATTGAGATGTCATCATTTTTCTTATTTGAATTTGTAATAGCTAAAGTAGGCAATAAATAATACATTTTACTGTGATTTTTTGCCTAAATTAATAATCATACGAAACTTTGATTAATGAGATTGAAGTCAGGGGCTAATTTTCTACAATATGACATCAAGGCTTGTATTCTCACAAACAATTTGTTTGGTTGCAACAAAATAAAACAGAAATAGGGGAGAGGGGAGAGGGAAATGAAATAGATAAAGAATGAGACGTGATTCTGTTGGGATTCATCCCAAGTCCCACATCGGTAAAATGAAGGAACATTGGCTAGTTTATAAGTGTCCACCATTTCACATAGTACGAGGCTTTTTGGGAAGGAGCCCAAAAACAAAACCGTGCGGTCTTGGGCCCAAAGCGGACAATATCATACTATGATGGTGGAACAGGTGGACTATCGGGCCCAACAGATTCTTTTTATTTTCTTGCACCTAATAAATTTCCTATTTATTAGTTATATCTATTGCTAAAGGAATATATATTTCTTAAATGTAATACATTTTGTTTTTTTTGTTGTATGTGAACTTATTTTAACTTGAAATTTTTTGTAAATACAAGGTTGAAGCCCAAACTACTGGTTTTACACAAACCCAATCTCTTAAACCACAACTGACCCAAACAAGATAGGCTAATGATATATATACCTCTATTTTTTTTATAAGTACATCTCTTTTATTTTTTTTAAAATATTCACAATTTTTTTATTTTTAAAATTTTTAATTTTACATCTCTAACTTTCAATTTACTATTTTTTATTTTCACACACCTCATTCTTTCTCTTTTCCAGTTTTTACATGCACTATCTTGTCTTTTTCTAATTCCTCACCTATTTTAGTAGGTAATTTTAATTTTATTGATTTTTATATTACTTTCTTATTTTCTTACATTTTTCACTTTTTCACATGCACCTAAATCATAGAACTCATAGGTGACAACATTGTAGGTGCATGTAGCTTCCTTGCAGTTTTTATCAAACTAGACACACATTTTTTCTTCTAACATTTCCTTTCCTTTTATCCCTCTAAAAACCTTAACATTAAGTTTAGTGTTACGAAAAACATATTTTCACTATTCTAGAATACTATGAGGATAGTAAAATCAATGAGAAAACTGAAAGAGGAAGAGAAAAAATAATGTACAACTAAAATAATTAAAATTACCTACCAAAATAAGTAAGGGTGAAGAAAAATTAAGGGAGTACATGTGAAAATAAGGAAAAGAGTTATGTAAAAAAAGTGTTAAATTAAATGTTAGGAGTATAAAATTAAAAAATTTAAAATTAAAATTAAGAATATTTTAAAAGTTTAATTATTTTTTTGAAAGGGGTGTACTTATAAAAAAAAATAAGGAGGTGTCCCATAAGAAAAAGCAGCGTATATTGGGCTAATTGTTCTCACATAGAAATCGTCGTACCACAATAACCCGAGAGATTGTATAATGGGCCTGGACTTGGTTTAGATGCCTAATCTATTTTCTCTTTGGTTGATGATTTCAACCTTTTTCCTATAAGTACACTTCAAAAAAAAATAATTAAAATTTTAAAATATTCTTAATTTTTTTTTTATTTTACATTCACAAAATTTAATTTAGTACTTTTTTTTACAGATCTTTCTTTTTTTTCTTTTTTTCTTTTTTCAATTTTTACATACACCCCGTTATCTTTCTTTCACCCCACCTATTTTGGTAGCATGTAAAAATTGAAAGAGAAAAAAAAAAGTGTTAAAAAAAGAAAAAAGTAAAAAATTGAAAATTAAAGGTATAAAATTAAAAAATATATATATAATATTTTATAATTTTTTTTTTTAAAAAAGGTGTACTTATAAAAAAAACAGGAGGTGTATATATCATGAGCCTTCCGAAAAGAACTTTCCGTCAGAATAATTACGGAAAGTACTTTCCGGAATACTAAAATTACTATTCTAGAAATAACTTTCCGTCAAAATAATTATGGAAAATATTTTCCGTAACACTAGAATTACTATTGCAAAAAATTCTTTCCGGAATATTAACAGTGTGTGTATTTGTTACCATAATTCCGGAAAGAACTTTCCGCAATAGTAATTTTAGTGTTATGGAAAGTATTTTCTAGAATTATTCCGACGGAAAGTTATTTCCGAAATAGTAATTTTAGTATTCCGAAAAGTACTTTCCAAAATTATTCCGGGGGAAAGTCCTTTCCGGAATAGTAATTTTAGTATTCTGGAATACTAAAATTACTATTCCAAAAAGAACTTTCCATAATTATGTACAAATACACTTCCGAAAAAAACTTTCCAAGATAATTTTTTTTTATTCCAAATAATATTAAGGATAATTTAAAAATTTAATATATTTTTTTAAAAAGAGAGTGTATGTATAAAAAAAATGGAGGTGTATATCATCAGCCTTTCTCTTTTTGGTTCATATATTTTCCAATGTTGTGCTCTTATGCCCACATGAAAAATGTTAGGGTGAACCAAAAAAAATAGAAAAAGTTAAGGAAAAAAAATAGTAAGAGCGCAGTCAGCAGTGCCTTAATATACTAGTTAAGCATTTAAATACAATTTTTTTAAAAAAAAATAATGTATTAAATATTCGTTGCAGTTTTTATTTATTTTATTTCTTTAAAAATATATTTAAACTTTCGTTAGCAGAAATTTTCATTTTTACGCATTTATAAATTGCTAGTGAAGATCTTCAAAAAAACAATTGCTAGT